AACAAATAAATAATAATACAAGAATAAACTGTTTCTTACTACTGTAAACCTACTTTTGCCAAACCTTGTATTAACCACTCAAAAACTATTCAACCTTTGTCTGACTGGTGTGGCTCAGTGGTTGAGCATCAACCCATGCACCAAGAGGTTGCTGGTTCAATTCCCAGTCAGGGCACATGCCCAGGTTGTGGGCCTGATCCCCAGTGGGGGCATGCAGGAGGTGGCCAATCGATGTTCTCGTTCATCAATGTCTCTATCTCCCTCCCTCTCCCTTCCTCTCTCTAAAATCAATAAAGAAAAATTATTTTAAAAATAAAAATAAACATAAACTGGCCCTGGCCGGTTTGGCTCAGCGGTTAGAGCGTCGGCCTGCGGTCCTGAGAGACCCGGGTTCGGTTCCCGCTAAGGGCACGTACCTCGGTTGCAGTTTGTCCCCGGCCCTGGTCGGTTGTGCGGGTGGCAGCCACTCGATGTGTCCCTTCACATCGATGTTTCTCTCTCTCTCTGTTCCTCTCTCTCCCTCCCACTCTACCTGAACAAAAAATGGAAAAATGTCCTCGGGTGAGGATAAAAAATAAAATAAAATAAAATAAAAATAAACTGTTCAACCTTCAAAAACAAAAATGAATAAAACTAATCCCAACTCTCCAATCTGTTATCTGAGTCCCTCCAATCATCTTTCCCACTGCTCCAGCATAAATCTTCCTTCTGGCTAAGCAGGTCACCTCACTGCCTTAAGGACATGGTGTTAACACATGCATGAACTCACACCATTTCTTCCTCCAGGACATTAATCCTCCTTTGGTAGGCAGGATGGTCCCCCAAAGATGTCCTTCTACTTCCTAAACTCTAGAACCTGTGACTATGATAGATTCCATGGCAAAGGGGAATTAAGATTGCAGATGCAATTAAGGTTGTTAATTAGCTGACTTTTTAAAAAGTGAAATTATCCTAGATTGTATGAGTGAGCCTAATATAATCACAGGTTCCTAAAAGTAGAAGAGGGAAGCTGAAGAAGAGAGTCAAAGAGGGAGCTGGGATGACAAAATCAAGGTCAGAGCGATGTGATGTGAGGGCTGAACCAGCCACTGCTGGCTTTGAAGATGGAGGACGGGAACCAAGGGCCAAGGAGGTGGGCAGGCTCTAAAAGCTGGAAAAGACAAGGACGGATTCTCCTCTAGATTCTCCAGAAAGAAATGCAGCCTGCTGACATCTAGATTTTAGCTCAGTGAGACCTGTGGCTGACCTCTAACCTATAGGACTGTAAGATAGTTTGTGTTTAAACTACTGCATTTATGGTAATTTGTTAGGGCACCAAATAGAAAACCGATTTTCTCTCTTTTGAGTCCCTATAGCACCTGTTACAGCATATTTTATTTGGGAATACATGATTCGATGAATCATGCTTAGTACTTGATGACTCATTCATTCAACATTATTTAAAGTCTGCTATGGGCCAAGTCCTGTACCAGACCTGGGGATGGTCTGCCTAAAGGGTGTTTATGTGCAAGGGTGAGGTGTTTGGGTTTGATCCTATTTAGTAATACTGTGCTAATCAGTGAGAACACAAAAGTGATAAACCATAGTCCCTCCCTGGAAGAGCTCAGCCAACCCATGGGAACCTCTGTAAACTGTATTCCCAAATAAAATATGCTGTAACAGGAGTAACAGGTGCTGTCAGAACACAGAAGAGCATCTAACCTAATCTTCAGGGAGTTAAAGACTTCCTGAAAAGAGTGCTGAAGTATGAAGGAACAGCCACAATGAACTAAAACAGAGTTTCCCACGAGAGGTCCAAAATGGCATCAGCTTGCACAAGAATACTTATTTTAACAGTTATTTAGAAATATAGCCCATTTGGGGGACCACTATACTGTTACTTGTTACATATTATTGCTTAGATTGGGTCTAAAAGAGATTTCTTTTAATATTAAAAGTGAATTTAAAGAAAAATGTTAAGTAAATTGTAGCACAGGCTATATAGTACTGAGAAGATAGTGTATAAAATTACTGACATTAGAGGAAGTGAGCTAAGATAAGTGGATGGGCAAAGTTATTCTAGCCAATAGACATGATAAGTGTAAGAACAGGAAGCTGTGGGGTTGGGACAGGGGCTGAGTATGGCATAGACCCGATGCGGAAGGACACGCAGCACAGGATGGAGAGGTCAGAAGGGTCAGATGGTCTGGTGAGCCAGGTTAAAGGTCTTGGAGGCTATTGCAATTATCTGACCTAGACTGTAAGCATCTCGAGAGCAGGGCACTTTTTGCATTATGCTCATCACTTAGAAAGATGCTACTGGCATAGAATAAAGTCCAAACACCTCACAATGGTACCTAAAGACCCTTTAGGTAGACTGCAACTGACTTCATCTCCTGCCAAGCATGGTATCCCACCCTTTCCCTCAAATATGCCACCTTCTCTCACATATCTGTAACTTTGCTTCATAACTCCTTCTGCACAGTAACTTTTCAAAAAAATCCTCACCCGAGGATATTTTTCTATTTATCTTCAGACAGAGTGGGAGGGAGAAAGAGAGAAAGGGAGAGAGAGAGAAACATCGACATGAGAGGGACGCATTGACTTGTTGCCACCAGCATGATCCTGACCAGGGCCGGGGATGAGCTGCAACTGAGGTACGTGCCCTTGGCCAGAATCAAACCCGTGACTCATTAGTCCTCGGGCCAACACTCTACTGCTGAGCCAAACCAGCCAGTGCCACAGTAACTTTTTAAAAAAAGATTTAAGATTGATTTTTAGAGAGGAAAAGAGGAGAGACAGAGAGAGAAACATCAATGTGAGGGCAAAACATCCATCAGCTGCGTCCTGCACACTCCCTACTGGGGATTGAGCCCAAACCAGGGCATGTGTCCTGACCAGGAATTGAACCTGCAACCATTCGGTGCATGGTTCCGCCCAACCAACTGAACCACACCAGCCTGGACCTACACAGTAACTTTTGGTCAAACTCCTCCATGCTATTTGCTAATTAACTACCGAGCTCCTACTCTAGCCTTTTGCATTCATTCGTGGCCCGATAGAAACCATTATGAAGCCTTTCTCTGCTTCCCAGGCATTTGTCACTTCCTCTGCACATCTCCTTTAAAGCATGTATCACACACTAGTCAGTTTAATGGAGTCCAACTCTATCCTACATTAAGCTTTTAAAACATATATATTTTTTATTGATTTTAGAGAGAAAGGAAGGGGGAGAGACAAACATCGATGACACTGATGAGAGAAACATGGATAGGCTGCCTCCTGCATGCCCCTTTATTGAGGATCGAGCCTGCAACCCAGGCATGTGCCCTGACCAGGAATCGAACTGGCAACCTCGGTGCAGTGGATGATGCTCAACCAACTGAGCCATATGGGCCAGGGTCCACCTTCAGCTTTTTGAGGATAGGTTGGTTTCTTATTCATCTTTATGTTATTCTGTACCCAGCACAAGACTGGGCTTCCAAGCAGGGGAAAGAACATAGCCTGCCTTCCTAGATGGGAGCTTTGGCCAAACGTCTCAACCCAGAGGTCTCAGATGTACTTTGACCCTCAGAGTTGGTCCACTTTTACAAATTGAAAATCAACTCAATTTGTAAAAAATGGATAAATTCACACAAAGCCTGGATTTCTGACTCGTCTTGCCCCACATTCTGGCAACACTGGATCTTTATTGTCACATGGCAGCCATCAGCTGGAGTTGATTAGATCGGGCCTGCTCTCCATGTTATATATCCCCACTTCTGTTGTTCCTAACACAAAGACGTGGTGTTGATTGTGAATTTCATCATTCTTTTTCTTATAGTAAAATTAAAAGTAAACTTTCTTACACTGGGTTGTTTCACCTGAGCCCTGATGCATTTGAGTTTTCAACCCTCTAAACCTGTTTTCTCATCTGCATAATGGGAAAAATAACATTTACCTATAATTCTCTGTAAATGGGGTAAAGTATGTCCAGACTAGAGAATACACAGTATTTGAAAATGGTTGTTAATCTCAGGAGCTCAAGAACTATTTAAAAACCAAATGAATGAACAAAGGAACCGAATTAATCAACAACTGACCACATTACTGCTTTGTAAAGAGGAGACTGATGAAGGAAATTATCACCAAGGCATTTTTATCCATTTTCAAAGGCCATACTTTGTGTCTGGGCTGCAGGTGCTCAGGAAACGCAGATAAATTGCAGTTATTACGAATTCCAGAAAAGCTGGGAATGTAGGAGTGTGAGTGAGTGGTCAAAAACGGATGCCTATGAAGGTTTGGCTCTCTTTTCACCAGGCACTCAGGAGGTGCCCATTGTGTGCCTGTTGAATGCTCAGGGAAACAAGGGCCCAATTGCACTCCCTCCTCCTCCAGGCCGCCCTCCGGCCTCCTCCCTACCCTCCTGCCCCGCCCCCGCCCCGCCCCACCCTTACAGGATGTCCTCACGGATGGAGGTGCCATGGTTGAGGTTGTGGAAGCGGACGGAGACGCGGTCCCCGAGAATGAAAGAGCACCTCTTCTCCTTTTTGTAGACGCTGAAGCACTTCCTGAAGTCCTCGTAGGTCTTGAAACAGCTGCCCAGCTCCATGGCCGCCCCCTCAGCCCAGGCCAGGGGATGGCCCTAAGATCAATACCAGGGTTCAGAGGTCACACCATGAACGTCAACACTGGCGAGGGCCCAGAATGCCTTCAAGGTCGGCCCCAGTTGGGTGGCCGGCTATGGAGTTCAGGAGGAGACTTAGGCCTCAGCAAGTTAAAACGGGTCTGGGGGCGTCTTTGCAGTCTGACAGAGGGGAAATGACGCTCAGCCCTCTTTATCAAGTTCCTGGGCTCCGCCCCTCAAGGTCATATCCAATCCCACACGGGATTCCCAGACTGGCACTCATTTTCTCCAATAGCTAGAGAAAGATAGCCACGCACCCGAAGACTGACAGGAGTACTGGCCAATCATAATTTGCATCCCCCTCATTCTCAGGGTTGGCAGACATCCGTTTACTAGAGTAAACTGCGGAAATCTGCGAATACAGTGCAGGTCTCCGGGTGTCCGATTCAGCGCGGTGTCTCAGGCCGGCAGCAAGTGGTCGACATGTCGTCCCCGCAGGCCCCGGAGGATGGGCAGGGCGGTGGCGATCCCCCCAGAGACCTCCGCAGCGTCCTGGTCACCAGCGTGCTCAACCTGGAGCCGCTGGACGAAGATCTCTTCAGGTAGCCTGCCACATCTAGCCCGCACCCCCCACTGGGACAGGGGCTTCGGGTCTCGACTGCTGCCACCCTGTAGCCTTCTGCTTATAGTCCCCTGGAAGAGGATGGGCCCTGCGCGGGATGCAGGCTCTGCCGCCATTGGGAGAGAACTTGTTCCTGACAACTGTCCTCGCTGCCCGGGCTTACTCCCTGTTCACGCCGGGTCTGCGCAGCCACACCTCTAGGAGGCCCTGGCCGCAAATTAAGTGAGATAATCCTTCTCAGCAGCCTCCCCTGTCGGTGGGAACCAGCCAAAAAGGGCTGCGATTAGGCCAAGGGAGCACTGTTGAATCAGTTTAAAATATATCCTCAGCTCCTTGCATATTCACTGTCCTTTTCCTCTTACGTACCCCATCCCCACACCACTGGTAGCTCCTCACTCATTCTGAGGCCTGAGCCATTTCCTTCCCCATGCCACTTAAATTCTTGACTGCAGCTGGGGTTTTAACGGTTTTGTCCTCAAAAGCTCCTACTGGCCTATTGGGAGCTATTTTGGGTGTTAACTTCTCTTCCCCCTACTTAAGGAATCACAAATAACTTCCTGGAGAGCTATTTGCAATGTATTATATAAAAATGCTGAACTTGGGTTGGGCCTTGGAAAGCTAGAGACCCAGACCCCTCAGCCTCCACAAGGTTCGTGTACTGGATAAGCCCTTTTCACCTCTGGGCCCTCAGTTTTCTCATTTGCACACTGAAGGGGTTAAACTTGAAGTCTGGGTGCCCTTTGCACTCTAAATCTAGTTTTTGAATTGTCCAAGTTGAGGGATGTAAGTGGCAGGCCTTGGTGCAGTCCACCTAGTTCTTGGGGTTCATCTTAGTACACTCAAAGCCTTGAGAGGCCTCTGCCTTACCCTAGTATGGGCAGTGGAAGAAATACAAGACTCAGTCAAAAGATCCAGATACTGCTAAGGATTAGCAATGTTTAAGCTGTGTGACCTTGCTAAAGTCACCTTCCCTCTCTGATCCCTGTTCTTTTAGTATAAAATATGGGGGTTGGTTCCCTATCTTAAACCAAAGTCCATAGAATGGTTAGGCAATTCCGAAGGCTTTGAAGATGTAGTTATTATATAATGCAGAATGATGCAAGGATATTTGGGGAAAGGGTCCAGGGCTTTTACCAGATTCTGAAAAGGATCCTAATCTCCAAAGAAGAGATCTGCACTAGCAGCTCACTGATTGTTGTAGTTTTCAGCCTAACCCTGAAGTCTTTCCTGCTTTCCCTTTCTCCCCACAGAGGAAGGAATTACTGGATACCCAAAAGCAAGCGGCTGTTTGGGGGTCAGATTATGGGCCAGGCCCTGGTGGCTGCAGCCAAGTCTGTGAGTGAAGACGTTCAAGTGCACTCCCTGCACTGCTATTTTGTAAGGGCAGGTAAGCCACCCCCTCCCAGTCCTGGTGGCCCAGCAGCCATTTCTTCCTGGCCTTGGGGGGCTGATTTAGGAGAGAGAGGAGGAGGTGGGGGTAGGGAGAAAGAGTTAGTTTGTTACCCATCCACAGGGGAGCCTGGAGAGGAACAAGTCCTGGGTAGGGCGGAGAAAAATATTAGACCTCACACCTGCTTGCTATCTGGCCCGGAATGACACAAGACTGGCTTAACTTCTCCCTGTGGGTCTTTAGTTCTTCATTCTTTACACACCTTCTGGTGCCAAGTATTATGATGGAACTCTCAGAGTGGTACTTTAACCTCTGTTAGGAGTTTGTTTGTAGGGGGCTTGACTTGGAGAAGAGAGAGCACCAGTCTGGGGATCAAGAGACAATGTGTTTAGCCCTCGTCAGTGTTCTCAGTGGTTAGAGCATTGGCTCTCACACCAAAGGGCCGTAGGTTTGATTCCCGGTCAAGGGCACATACCTGGGTTGCAGGCTCGATCCCTGGCACTGATTGATCCCTGGCCCTGGTTAGGGCTCGTGTAGGAGGCAACCTATTGATGTGTCTCTCTCACATCGATGTTTCTTTCTCTCTCTCTCCCTCTCCCCCTTCCTCCCTCCCTTCCACTAAATCAATGGAAACAATATTCTCAGGTGAGGATTCACACACACACACAAAAGAGAGACAATAGGTCTAGTTTCAGTACTAATTCGCCATGTCACTTTGAGCAAGGTTACCTCCTCCTAAGGCTTGGTTCATTCATCCCACCTGAAAAATTGAGGAGGGTGGGACCAAGAGGTTTTTTTTTTTCTTTATTGATGTTAGAGAGAGAGGAAGGGAGAGGGAGAGATAGAAACATTGATGCAAGAGAACATCGATTGGCCACCTCCTGCATGCCCCCCCACTGGGGATCAAGCCCACAACCTGGGCTTGTGTCCTGACCAGGAATCGAACCAGCAACCTCTTGGTGCATTGGGTTGACGCTCAACCACTGAGCCGCAACCCGTTGGTGAAGGGTCAACACTCAATCACTGAGCCATTCTGGTGGGGCCCAAGGGTGCTTTATTTATTTATTTTTATTTTTGTTAATCCTCACCTGAGGATATTTTTCCGTTGATATTTTTAGATAGATAGAATGGAAAGGAGGGAGGGAGGGGAGAGAGAGGGAGAAAGAAACATTGACACATTGATTGGCTGCCTCCCACATGATCCTGACTGGGGCTCGGGATCGAACCTGCAACCCAGGTTTATTCCCTTGACCGAAAATCAAACCCACAACCCTTCGATCCGAGGGCCAACACTCTAACCTCTAAGCCAAACCAGCCAGGGCAGGACCAAGGGTGTTCTAGCGAGATGATCTCTACAGCTGCTTACAGTTTAAAGGAGCAAGAGAGTAATCTTTTAAAACCCATGCTCTCTTTTGAAAAACAAAAATCTCACTTGCTTTCCCTCCCTCCCCCTCACTCCTGAGACAGATGTCCCCAATTTTAAGAGTCACTGTCTTCTGCATAGTCCCATCAGCTGAAAAGAATATATGGAACATAATATGTGTGATTCATATTAAGAAAACAGTAGTGGGGTTTTCCCTTCATTTTACAAGTATAAAATAGTTATAATAGTAAATATATATACATTTTCATAGTGCATCCCCATGCCCCTCATGCCCTGTCCCTGACAGTTATTGCTATGAGGTATTTGAATACCCTTCAGTCTTACCTTTAGGCCAATTGGGAGCAAAGTGTCCTCTATTTCTTCAGTTTGGTTGCAAATTCCAAAAGTGCTGGCCTTTTGATATTGTAATCATAGCATAGTGAGATCGTTTTGTTTTGTTTTGAGGGCGAAGGGGCATTACCTGCTTGGTTTCTTTTAGACAGAGTGTAAGGGAGGGAGGAAGAAAGTGAGAGAGAAAAACATTGATGTGAGAGAGACATTAATTGGTTGAATGTTCGATCCCGCATAACCCTGAGGGGTTGGGGATTGAACCTGCAACCCAGGTACATGCCCTTGACCCTTCAGTCTGAAGGCTGACGCTCTAACCTCTGAACCATACCAGTCAAGGCCTCTAATGATGTGTGTGTGTATATATATATTTTTAAAAATATGTTCTTATTGGGGTTTTTTTTTAGAGAGAGAAGAAGGGAAAGAGAGATAGAAACATCAATGTAAAGGAGAAACATCAATCAGCTGCCTTCTGCATGCCCCCTACTGGGGATCGAGCCTGCAACCCGGGCATGTGCCCTGACCGGGAATCAAACCTGGACCTCTCAGTCCATGGGACGATGCTCAGTTCACTGAGCCACACCGTCTGGGCTCTGATGATATTTTTAATTAAAGATGCTGGGGAGGGGTTTGGTCCTTGGCCTTTTATCATATCAGTTCTTTTTCTAAAAGCCCACACTAGAATGTTAGTCAGTTTTGTGGGGTTTTTTTTTGTTCGTTTTAAGTATTTCTCCAGAGAAGTAGAGGATGTAGAATGGAAGTCATTTGACTTGGTATAGGTTGAGAACTTGGAGAATCTAGAGCAAGAGTCAGTAAACATTCTGTAAAGGGCCAGATAGTAAATATTGTAGGTTATTCCAGCAAAAGCAACAATAGACAAATGGGCTTGACAGTATTCCAAAAAATGTTATTTATGGCATCAGTCTCCTCATTTGTTGTGAGACCAATCTGAGAAAAGATAGCGTAGTAACTAATGCTGCCTGGCACCCAGCACTCACTCCACAGCCATTAGCTCTCTTCCTTTAATATATACTCCAGAGCTTACCTGCTCTGTTCCATAAACATTTCCAAGAATATGTCCTGGACTCATTCACACTGAAAGGTAAATCACTAGTAACTAAAAGTAGTGCATGAGCCCAAGGATTGCATGAAAGCTAATTTTGTTTAAAGTTCATTGGTAGTGGAGGGAGGCTTCCTTTACAGCCCCTGAAATCAGACTGCACATGTAGCTATCTCCTGTGTCTGGGCTCTTGGGAAGCCCTTCTCAAAAGCCGTTGACCTTGAGTCGTCCCCATTCTGATAAAAATGCCCCTTTGGCAATGCTAATGTCAGACCACTGGCGCACCAGCTGGGCGTCAGGGCTCCACAGTGATGCTTATTACTGTTGGGTGAGCCCGCGTGCCTGGTTGACTCCCCATCTGGATTGGGGTGGAAGAAGCAACACTTTTCTAGACCTGCTTCTTTTAAGACGTCTCATTGCCTAGTTGTCAGGGTTGCCCATGGTCAGCCTGACTCAGAGAGACAGTGAAGGATTTCAGAGACACCAGAGGGACACTCTCCCCCTAAAACCTCTCCCTTATCTGCTGGTTGAGTGCTGATAGTTCTCAACCTGCGACCAGTGCTTCCACCCTGCATTGGGAGTGAAGACCTGAGGGAGGAGGGCCAAGTGGCTGCATTTGCATCCACAATGAAGTGAGTGATTCACTGACAGCAGGCTTCTCCTGAGAGAGAATGAATATTCAAACCGACAGTGCCAGACCATATATAAAAATAGAACTTGGACCCACAGTTCAGGATCAACAAGTACAGGAAGCCAACCTACTGTCTACATGTCAGGTTTGTAGGAAGTCAGACCACCATCTCTAGCAACCAGTCCAAGAAGCCCCTGTAACAGTCAGCCCCAAAGAGCCATGACTTGATTAACAACTAACAGCTTCCCTAATCTTTGCCCATGCTTCCAACTGCAGAAAGCCAAACACGTACCCTAACCACTTGTGTAGGATGCCCCGCTTCTACTTAGCCTGCCCCTAGCTTCCCCATGCCAACACCCTCCAGTCAGGGGACACCTGAAATGTTTTCTCATGAGAAAGCTTTCTCATCCCTCTGCCTGCCTTTGAGTCTCTGCTAACATAAGTGATGGGAGCTGACTCTCTTGTTAAACCAAGCTCTGAATAAATAGCCTTTGCTTGTTCAAGGAAGGGAGAAAGGAATAGAAGGGAAGGGAAGGGAGGGAGGGGAGGAAAGAAAGGAAGAAAGAGGAAATCTGTAATACAACAATAAAGATAGTGAAAGAAAGAGAGAGAGAGAAGGAGAGAAAGAGACAGAGGGAAGGGAGGGAGGGAGGGAGGGAGGGAGGAAGGAAGGGAGGGAGGGAGGAAGGAAGGAAGGAAGGAAGGAAGGCAGGCAAGGAGGGAGGAAGGAAGGGAGGAAGGAAGGAAGGAAGGAAGCAAAAAGAAGACAGGTGGCAGGCCAGATTTGCTGATCATACAGACTGGACTCATGACAAGATCCCAGTTGTGGAACAAGACAAAAGCTGGGAGTGTTTAATGTATTTAACAAACACAGAGCACTTACTGTGTGACAGATAGTATTCTAATCACTTTACAGTTATGAACTCATTCTCATTAAAATCCTAAGAGGTATGAGCACTATGATGATCCTCATTCTATAGATGGTGAACTGCTCAGAGAGGGTCAAGTTGACTTTTCCAAGGTCACACAGCTAATGGGCTGGAATTTGAATGCAGGGAATCTGTCAATGTGCCTTCTGTGCTGTTGAGAAAGAGTTCCACCTGCACTGGGAGCACCCCATGACAGGGTCTGGTGTTCTCTCTGTATCCCAGTACCTGGGCCTTAGCAGGCCTCAGTCAGTAGCTACCAAGCAGAAAAGGAATGGAGAACAAGTAGCAGAGGTGCCTGTCCAGCCATTGCGATGATGACAGGGCCTGTGGGGCTCACTCAGGCTCACCGTGTCCCTTGTGCCACCTACAGGGGACCCGAAGGTGCCAGTTTTGTACCAGGTAGAGCGGACGCGAACAGGAGCGAGCTTCTCCGTGCGCTCCGTGAAGGCTGTGCAGCATGGCAGGCCCATCTTCATCTGCCAGGCCTCCTTCCAGCAGGCCCAGCCCAGCCCCATACAGCACCAGTTCTCCATGCCCACTGTGCCCCCACCGGAAGTGCTGCTTGACTTTGATACCCTCCTTGACCAGTATTTAAGGTGAGAGACCTGGACCGCAGTCGCCACCTGTTACTGGGTCATGGAATCCTTTAGTGCATTGTGACCATTTAGAAATATACACTAGAAAATACTGGAATGTATTATATGTAGTAAGGGTACGAATCTTTCTGTGAAAGTTTAGCTTCAGTTGTGTGTGTGGGCATGTGTAAGTATATTGGGTCATGATGTAAAATGCAGGGCTTATGATTCAGTCAGTTCAGGCACAGTACAGTTTTCCTGGTTGTTAAAATATTGAACTTCTTTAACTACTTGGTAAATACTCACCTCCCCAGTCCCTGAGTGACCCCCTGCTCCTCCAAGGTCACATGATCCAGCGCCTAGGAGTTAATGCCTGGTGGGGTTAGGGCTCCTGCTGCCTTTGTCTTAGTGCGTGTTGACTATTTTAGTTTAGTTTTTGCATGTTGACTATTGTAAATGTCACCTGGTAAAATAGATTTCATACTTGGATCACAGTTGATAAAGTTGGGGAAATGCTGGGGCAAAGGAAAGAGCTCTGGGCTCTGACACAGGACAGACACACGGATTTTGGCCAGGGCTGTGCTCTGTTAGTGTCCATTTGCTCTGTGACTTTGCCCAACTCCCCAGCCTCTCAGAACCCTGCTTCTTCATCTAAAAAAATGTTTGTTTCTCCCAGGCTGGTTTTGCTCAGCAGTTAGAGCGTCGGCCTGCGGACTGGAGAGTCCTGGGTTTGGTTCCCGCTCGGGGCATGTACCTCAGTTGCAGTTTGTCCCCGGCCCCGGTTGGGGTCGTGTGGGTGGCAGCCAGTCGATGTGTCTCTCTCACATCGATGTTTCTCTCTCTCTCTCTCTCCCTCCCACTCTATCTAAAGATAAATGCAAAAATGTCCTTGGGTGAGGATAAAAAAATAAATGAAACAGTGTTTCTGCCTTGCCTGCTTCACAGCTATCAGAGGGAGAGCGCCTCTGCCTTGTGCTGCTCGCGGGGAGGCAGCGGGTGTGATGGGGCCGGCGCGGGTCTGAACCTGGGAAAGGTCTAGGTTCACATCTAGACTGTCTCTGCTAGCTGTGTGAGTTTGGGCAAGTTGCTTTCCCACTCTGAGCCTGTGCCCTCAGTTATAAAATGGTGCTAATCATAATTCCTACCTCATAAGGCTGCTGTGAGGATGAACTGAGATAAGAAATAATAAGGCACTTAGTGAGTGTTTAGTAAATTGTAGTTATACCACTGTTGACTGCGAGGACAAAGCTTGGAGCCTGGTTTGTGGTTGGAGTTCAAAAATGTTTGTTGAAATGAAAGGAGGACATTGTTCGTAAAGGTCCCTAAATCTAGAGCTGTGCTGTCCAACAAGGAGGCCACTAGCCACATAGGATTGTATTAAATCAACATCAGACAGAATAGTTCTGTTCTTGTCACACTAACCACATTTCAAGCACTCAGCAGCCACATGTGGTTAGTGGCTACCATAGTGGACAGTGCAGATACAGATCATTCCATCAGCTCAGGTTCTGTGGACCATGCTTGAGAGGATAGGGCTGAAAATGGAAATCCCGGTGCACACTAGGGGTGGCTGTTATCGTGGCGAAGGGGCTTCCCTGGAAATGGGCTCTTTTCCCTGGGGACACTGTTCCCAGTTGCTTAGGGTTGGGTAACTCAGTCCGAGTCGGGCAGCCTGGTTCCTGAGTGGAATAGTGAAGTGGGTAAGAATGTGAACCTTGGAGCCAGGCTGTCTGGGTCCAAACCCTGTCTTCTTTACTTCTGAGCAAGCTACTTGGACTCGGTGCTTATTTCATGTATCGCTGGGAGGTGATCTTTGCAGCTGTCTCACAGGGTTGTTGTGAGGATGGGTTCATGCGCGTGAAATGCTTAGAATGGTACGTATTGGAGGTGTGCCTCATGACTGGGATGTGTTGGCTTTATATGCATTACCCTGTCTTCTCCACAGTGTTTCTGTGAAGTAGGTTACTGTCATTATCCACATTTTGCAGATGGGAAAATAGGCAGAGATTACTGACTTGCACAAGGCCACATGGCTCATAAGAGGCAAAGGACGGGTTCAAACACTTGACATTCCTGCCTGCCAGAGAGGGGAGCCTTCAGGCTAAGCCTGACTCCCTATAGAGGAATGAGGGGGTCAGAAGAAGCAGTTCAGAAGACAGGCTCCCCTGCTGTCTGGGTCTCTCCCAGTCCCTCTTCCCTTTACTTTCAGGGACCCTAACCTCCAAAAGAAGTACCGAGTGGGCCTGAACCGAATAGCTGCCCAGGATGTGCCCATTGAGATCAAGTTGGTAAACCCACCCACCCCGAGCCAGATGCAGAACATGGAGCCCAAACAGATGTTCTGGGTGCGAGCCCGGGGCTATATTGGTAAGAGGACCCCCTGGACTGGAAGAAAACATTCTTCAGGAGTCTAGGGCTGCACCTCATCTGCCCTGTGTGGCCTTGGGCATGTTACTTCCCTTCTCTGGGCCCGTTTCCTCATTCCCATGATGGGGAAGTTGGCTCAAGTTCTCACTGGGGCCCTGCCATGCCTTTGCATGGGAGAATGGGAGGTGACTATAATCCTCATGTAGGCCCTTTCTGGGGAAGGCAGGCACCTTGCTGAGATTCTTCTCCAGGCCCACTAAACATAAGGTGCCTGTGTGGGAGACTTGGGGAGTGATGACTCCATCACCGCCTCCCTCTCCCCCATCACACATAGACCTTGGGCCAGGTGCCCTTGTGCAGTGAACAGTATGTCTGTGCATGGCATGTCTGTGCACAGCAGTCCCTCTCTCCCCTACCTCCCTGCAGGTCCTGAGCTGTAAAGGCCAGGAGCCCAGGGTTGATGGGCTGGGACCTATTGCAGGGGAGGGCGACATCAAAATGCACTGCTGCGTGGCTGCCTATATCTCGGACTATGCCTTCCTGAGCACAGCATTGTTGCCCCACCGGTGGAATCATAAGGTGCACTTCATGGTCTCCTTGGATCACTCCATGTGGTTCCACGCCCCTTTCCGCGCTGACCACTGGATGCTGTATGAGTGCGAGAGTCCCTGGGCTGGTGAGTGTGGGGCCGCATGGGACAAAGGCACTGCCATGGGGTGGCAGGGAACATGCTTTCTTAGGTGATGCTGTCCCCCGCCCACACCCTATGGGCCACTACCCAGGTCACTTCCTCTCCTACCCCCCCTAGGCTTTGGAATCCTTGTCTTCAAAATAACAGGGTGAGGCTGGAGGATGGGACACATGCTCAGTTCTTAATTTTATAACATGCTGGGAATATGATTTGCTTTATCTCAGAGACCCCAGTTCTAGTCCCAGAACCACTTCAGATTCTCTGTATGATCTTGGGCAAGTCCCATATCCTCCCCAAACCTCAGTTTCCCCATTTAAATAAACAGAGTTGTATCAGAGTAGTAGTATCCAAACCTGGCGGTCCATCAGACCACCACCTGGGGGAGCTTTTTCAAAATAGATTCTCAGATTCTAAGATTCTGACTCAGCAGGTCTTGGAAGAGGTCCAGGAAACTGTCTTTTTGTTGTTGTTGTTGTTAAATCCTCACCCGAGGATATTTTTTCCATTGATTTCTAGATAGAGTGGAAGGGAGGGAGGAAGAGAGAGACAGAGAGAGACACATCGATTGGTTGCCTCCCACACAACCCCGACCAACTCGGACCTTTTGGGGGCTGAGGATCAAACCTGCAACCCATGTACGTGTTCTTGACTGGGAATCGAATCTGAGACCCTTTGGTCCTCTGGCCGATACTCCAACCGCTAAGCCAAACCTGCCAGGGCCAGGAAACTGTATTTTTAAGAAGCACCCTAAGTGATTCTGCCAATTAACCTGGATGGGGCTTGGGTCACTGAACAGTTTCTAAGGGCCCTTCTGCTTGGACACTCCTCATCAGAGACATAGAGAAACCCAGACTCATTCATCAGTGTCTAATGTCAGAGCCCTAGACACTGTATTTCCAAGGAAATACTTTTCAAATGAAGAAAAACCTTGCTTTGAAAAACGGAGACAAAACTTAAGGGACTCTGTATTCAGGGAAGGGGGACTCTCAAGTGCCAATAGCATCATAGTACAGGATCAGCAACCTTGAAGTTAGGACACTTGGGTTTGGCCTGATTCTTAAGGCCAAGTTCCTGTGCCTCTCTGAACTTCAGGCTCATCATTTGGAAAAGGGGACAAGCCCCGCTTCACTTTGCTACTGTGAGGACTAAGTGAGCTGTACGATGCCGAAGGGCAACCAGCAGCTCCCTTCATAAACACCAAACTCGGGCCCAAGGCTAGCAAGGGAGAGAAAATATACAGGTGGGGAGGGAGGAGTGGCCAGGCTTCATGGCCCCAGGTCAGCTACCCCAAACCCCTTAATCCCCTTACAGTTGGGGTGTTTTCATATAATACCAGCCTGGAGGGACTGATTTGATTTATTATAAAGGGAACTGATGGGTTTCCTAACACAAGTGGCCAGAGGTGGGGTGATCAGCTTAGCCAAGCTACCGAGACTCAGAACTCCCCACTGTGTGATTTTTGAGGAAGCCAGAGAATATGTGAAAGTGCTTCTAAACTGTCCATGGGAGGAGTTACCCTCTGATGACAGAGCATGCTAGGCTCATAAAGGGACACAACACTCAGTGTGCCCTTGTACGGGGCAGCCCAACCTGGACTGCACCCTTTTCAAGAAGCCTGTTTGGCTGTGCTGAAGGAGAGAAGGCCGTTCTTACCCTTTTCCTCGCCCACAGGTGGCTCCCGGGGGCTGGTCCGTGGGCAGCTGTGGCGTCGGGATGGGGTCCTGGCTGTATCCTGTGCCCAGGAGGGCGTGATTCGAGTGAAACCCCAGGTCTCAGAGAGCAAGCTATAGCCAGAGGTACCAGCTTGGCCTGGGGCTTGAAGGATCTCCCTTCTCCCCAGGCTCCTGAGGCGGGAGTTCTAGATGAGGGCTGGGCCTTCTGGGCCTAACATCCAATAAAGAGACTGATACCACTGGAGCTGCTGGCCTTTAATTCTCTGGGCCAGAACTGCAGCCCCTCCAGCCAGAAGCAGAGTTCCTGGCCCTTGGTTTGTCCAGGCTGCTTCACTGGCTTGGAGGCCCAAGGAAAAGAGAACACTGACCATGACCTGGGGCACAGCCCCCAGCTGTTCATAAGCTGAAGAGAGTGCATCAGACTTCCTCCCTGCACCATCCCAGGCATCCCCAGCCAAAGCTGTTTCTGAGCCCAGCCCAGCCCAGCAGAAGAACCATGTTTCCTCGGTCTGCTACACATTCTCTGTGGTACTCCTAGGGCTTCCCGGCACCCTGTGCAGCCTCCCAGCTGCTGTTCAGGTCCGCATCAGCCCCCCTCCCCTGCCATCCTGGGGCAGTGCCTCTTCTCAGGGTGACCTTAAGTCTAGGCAAGGTTAGTCCAGTACCTCCTTGATGAGCAATTCTTTGAGACTAGGAGGTGGCGTGGGGGTCAGGCCTGCCTCCTGCAGGGCCTGGAGCCGTGCCTCTGATTGGCGTTTGTCTAGGCCCAGGCGCCAGGAGAGCCTGACATGGGCTTCCAGAAAGGGTGCCAACAAAGGGTGGGGGCTCTTGTCCCCAAGCAGCTGAAGAGCCCTCTCACAGCAGGCCCTGGCCTCCCCAGGGTCCTCCAGCTCCTGGTGGCACACAGCCAACCCAGCCAGGGTCAGCAGAGGGCGATCTGGGCCAGAAGGGGTGCCCAGTTGGGCCTGCAGCTGCCAGGCATTGGCCCAGAGTGACAGAGCCTCACGATAGAGGCCAGTACAGGTGAGGCTTTGTGCCCGCCGCAGCTCTGGCAGCACGAAGAAGTCCTGCAGGTCTGGGGCATGGCGCAGCTCGGGGACTGCCTGCAGGTGGCTCAGAAACTGCTCGAAGGCCCGGCTGCGACGGGCAATGGTCTCTGCAGTGAAATTCCTGCGCAGGCGCTTACGAGGGAAGGAGATGGCAGCCATGGGGCCCCGGAACTGCCGCTGCAGGTTTCGGTGCAACCGCTCAAAGTCTGAGTAGCGGCGAGAGATCTGGGCTGGCTGGCGATCTGGTGGCCCTGGCCCCATCACGGCGAGGGTGTAGAGCTGCAGGGAGGGTGGGGGTCAGGGCAGGTGCAAATTATCCACAGTCCCCTTCCTTCCCCACACCCAAACTTCCAGCCCTGTTCCCCCACCTCTTCCCTTCACCCCTAAGACTGGGCCCAGGAAGTGGGAGCTGCTGGGGCAGCAGCTAGGGAGCCCAGTCCGTCTTACCTGAGGCTCGTCTGAAATGACCAGGCCCAAGGCAGCACGGGGAGAGAAAGACAAAGATGAGCTTCAGTGCCTGGAGCTGCTGCCCTTTTGCCCCTTCCAGAAAGTACTCCCTTCCCACTAAGGCAGTTAGCTTTTTGACAGCCCCTCTGGAAAACCAGGGGTGCGCCGAAACCCAGGCCAATCTCTTGGGCCTCTGAGCCAACCTTTAGAAGCTTTGTTCTGTTCTAACACAGAGCCTCCACATCCCTAGCCAGGTTATTCCAATCCAGACCTGGAGGGCAGGTCTTCAGACACCCAGGAGCGGTCACTGTGGAAAGTACACTGGCCTCAGACTCCAGTTCTAACCTCAGGTCAGCTACTCCCTCATTGTGTGACAGCAAGGCAGTCCCCCTCGAGTCAGCTTCCTGCTCTAGTGCCTGGCCCAGGTCAGTGTTTACTCAAGTGTGGGACGTACACAAATGTTGGTCCTGAGATTTTTTTAGGAGGTATGTGCTAGAGTAAATCACCCTGAGTCAGAGGCAGGAGGTGATTACCCCCCTCATTCTCTTTGAGTCTTTCTGACTACAAATTGAGTCCCCTTTGGTTTTGAAAGAGCACGTGGACACTTCTCAGCTCCATTTTTAGAAAAGAACCAGAAAACGAATCTCAGGTCAGGGCCTTCAGACTGCAGCATCCAGGCAGGGTTTAATGACACTTCCTTTTTCACTGCTTTTATTTTTATGGATGTCTTGTCTTTATGGCAAGTGAGGCTTTCCACATACAGTAGTGTTATAAAGTTGTCTTTTAAACGTATTTAAGAAATAAAAAGATGTATTTAAAGAAAAATGTTAAACAGAGAATGGTAGTACAAGTAGCATTCAGATGGGACAAGACTTGTGAAGGTGGTACTGGAATGAAACGCTGAACATCACCATGAGACTTCCCCCAGGTCTGAGAACCCAACTAGGATTAATCTATAAGAATGCTGGGCCAGCAGGTTTAAAAAGGGGATTATCGAGCATTAAGTGTTATAGGGATACTAACACTAAATCCAGATGTCCCCCTCTAACTTGTTCTGCTAGTATTATAGCTCCCCCTGGTCAATTAGGTTTGCCTCTACTCTCCTTTTCTCAAAGATTCACAGTGTACTTTAATATTAAGGATTAAAAAGTCAAACAGTAAATAAACTTTATTGTACTCTTCAACTCTGCATTCCCAAAACTTACTGACTGCAAAAATCTTTTTTTTTTTAAAGGAATAGTTGTTAACATTTTAGGAAACCTATTTTCTGTAGAACACACTTCAGGAAGAACTGGTCTATCATGACCCCTTACGTTAATCTGGGTTTTATTTTGATTTTTTTTTTTTTTAATCCTCACTCGAGGACATTTTTCCATTTTTTGCACAGATAGAGTGGGAAGGAGAGAGAGGAAGAGAGAGAGAGAGAGAGAAATATCGACGTGAAAGAGACACATCGAGTGGCTGCCACCCGCACGACCAACCAGGGCCGGGGACAAACTGCAACCGAGGTACGTGCCCTTAGCGGGAACCAAACCCGGGTCTCTCCAGACCGCAGGCCGATGCTCTAACCGCTGAGCCAAACCGGCCAGGGCTATTTTGATTTTTTGACACCAACCATTTTCTGACATTTTCTATCCATTATCTCATCTGATCCTTGTAATGTCCTGCCAAGATAGGTAATAATGATAGTAGCTCCATTAACTGAGCACCTACCCTGTGCCGTGTACTGTGCCAAGCACTTTACATCTACCATTTCATTTAATCACAATAGCACTGCAAGGAAGATGCCCTTACTCTGACTGCTGAGGAAGCAGGTTCAAAAGTGTCAAAGATGTCCCCTAAGTCACAGCTGGGATTCAAACCCAGGCTGACCTAATTCCAAAGCCAGGAGAAGTTCAGTCGGGATTTAGGGTCCCCACTGGGCAAAGGAGGTGATTTGTTTCCCCAGACCCTATTCGAGGCATACTTGGCCTTCCCGCTGTATCTTGTCTTCTCCCAGAGTCACCCCCATGCTTCCTTGTTTCCCAGCTGCTGCTTGATAACTGATCCTTGGGGTCCCCTTCCTGTGCATGATGACTGGGCAGGACTTTTGCCACTTAAAACTTGATTACCAATCAATTCATGCCCAAATCGAAGCAGTCACCCCATGGGTGTGGCCCTTGTTTCCTAACAGAAGCAGAGAGGGGTGGAGAGGCCCAGATGTGGGACAGGGTTCCAGGTCCCATTCCTGCTGAGTCAGAAATGGAGGAAGGGTGCTGAGGAGGAGAAGTGAGAGGCTGGGAGCTCCTGCTGCCAGGACTAACCAGGGCAGACTGGGTTTCAGGCCTGGCAGGGAGCAAGCAGGACCTGGCAGATCTCATTTTCCATGTCAGTGTCTCCTTTCCACAGAGAAGAAAACAGGGACTCCCAGGCCCTCTCCCACATTGCTCTCCACCCCACCCCACTAACCCCCTAAATGGAGCCCTTAGGACAAGACTATTCTATACCAGATGAGTTCTTGAGGATTAATTCACCTGGGTTGTAAGGAGGCCACAATAGGCCGTTGATGCCAGACATTTCCAATCCAAAGCTAAGCAATAATAACAGAGCTACTTTTAATTTTATTATACATTTTCTTGAGCAGTTCATAATGCCAGGCACAATGGTAAGGGCTTTCTGTGCACTCTCATTTAATTCCCGTGTCAGTTCTCTGCATTATTCCCATTGCTCAGATGAGGAAACGGGGTCATCAAGATTACACTGCTCACCCAAGGCCAAACCACTGGGATTTAAATCAAGTTCTGCATCCAAACCCCCCCTTTTTTTTTTAAACCACTAACCAAAGCAACTTGAGTCTCAAGCCTGATCCAGATAATATTCTTTCCTGTGTACCTTACATTTTGCAAAACCCTGGGGGTGGGGGCTGAGGTGAGTGGGGACACACACACCCGTTCTCTTATTTTCAAATTTCAAATAATCCTGTCTTTACTCAGTTTCAGAGAAGCTGCCATTTGCCTAAGGACTTGCTCAAGTTACAGGCCCTTTCTGGCCTCAGTTTCCCCATCTGTAAAATGGGGGCAGCCATTTATAACTACACAGCCCGCCCTCCCCCTCTGCCAACGAAGTTGGTACCTTTCCTACTTTCTCTTAGCTAGACTTGTAGACTCACCGCCCAGGGGTTCCTGGACCCACACTCACCACGTACTTGGAGGGGGGGTCCTTGACCACGTTGGCGCTGGTCACCTCGAAGAGCAGCCGCTGGGGTACCAGGGTGTTCCGGGACTTCTTCCAGAAATCCTGCAATTGCCGGGCCAGGAGATGACTGCCCCGCTGCCCTTCAGGTGAGGGGTTCCGTTCTGCATGAGTACAGGGCCAGTCAAATCAGTAGGCCTGGGGCCAGGTCGACATAAACCATGTGCCAAGACCTCACTCCTCCCAACAGGTGACACAGCTTTATCCCCATTTGTCACAAATGGAAATTGAGGGTCAGAGAGGGGCCGGATGCCAAACACCGCGTTTGGCAGACAGTAGACGCTAAATACATCTCTCTACCCCCAAAACATCCCTAGCACATTAATTACCATTTGTAGCCCATACTCTACGTTTAATGCCTCCAACAACCCTGGGATGGGGATGATTTTCCCCGTTTGACACAAGGGACGTAGGCTCAGAGGGGTGTTGTGAGTCTCTCGAGGCCACATAGGCAAGAGAGAGGTGGCCGAGGCACTGTTTTTAAACAAGTGTCGAAATCTTAGAGTTTAGGCAGGATCAACTCGGAGCCCCGATGCTCCCCGACCGCCGCGGACGTGCAGGCCTCACGGAGCCCCCGGTGCCGCCTCCGTCCTCGCACTCGCCTGCGTCTTCTCCCGACGCCCCGTCCGCAGGGGGCAGCGGGTCGGGGCCGGCCGCCTCGTCATCTTCGTCGTCCTCCTCGTCCTCGTCCTCCGCGCTGGTGAAGCTCAGGGTGCCGCTGAGGCGGGAGGACAGGCCCTCGGCGTCGTCGTCCTCCAGCTCCGAGCTCTCCGGGAACTGCTCGGCCTCGGGGCCGCCCGCCGCCTCCCCGGGGCCGTCGCCGGCCAGGGCGTGCCGGAGCCGGTACAGGAGCCGCGAGGCCATGGCACCCGCGGGGCAGCGCCGGACAGAGGGTCCCGGCCGGGGCGGGAGCTAGGCCCCGGCCCCCCGCGGAGGGGCGGGGCCCAGGCCGGGGGAGGGGCGCCGCGGAGGACCCGCCCCTGCCCGCTGGGGTCCTGCGAGCCCTGGGTCTCGGCTCGCGTTGCCCTCCGCTCACCGGCGCTGCTTGGGGCTGCGCACGTCCCGGGAGGCACCCTGGACTCTCCCTCGTGTCTCTCGGCCCCGGCGCGTCTCTGCCCCCTGAGCCCCGCGGTGCACGCAGGGGCGCGCCGCTCCCCAGGGGTCCGGGTGCCGCCGCCGGCGGTTTACTGAAGCCGGGGCGCTCCGCCCGGCCCAGCTGTTCCGAGCTCCGCTCCCGCCGCTTCCTGCCGCCGCCCCGCCCCCGGCCCCGCCCGCTCCCCGGAGCCGCCCGGGAATCCCGAGCCCTGTGCTCCAGGAGCGACTTGGAATCCTGGGTAGGCCTGAGCGAGCCCAGGCCTCCTGCCGCAGCGCCCCGAGGCCGCGGGGCTCACACCCCCTCGAGTCCTCCCGCCCTTCTCGGAGACCAGGCTGGCCCCATCTGCCTCCCACTTTCCACCCAGCAACTCTTAACTTTCCAAAGTCGTTGGTGGGAAGCCCATCTCCCCCGTGAGATAACTGAGGCCAAGAGAAGACACGTGATCTGTTGGGACTGGGACCTTGTTGAGCCTTGGTTTTCTCATATACAAAACAGGAACAATGAATATTAGTACTGATTTTGCAGCACTTGTAAGAACCCTGCCCAGTCCAGTGCCCAGCAGAGCAGAGACCGACAAAATGGTTACGTGATTATCGTTTCTCCCGTGTTCCCAGACTTTTACAGTCTCATGGGAGCCTGCCTCTTAGAAAGTAGGCAAACGGGGAAACTGGAACTCAGAGCCTGAGTTAGTTGCAAAGTCACACAGCTTGCCAAGAGGTTTGAGTTGGGGCTTCCAGCCCAGGTCTCCCGAGTTCCGTATCCTGTTTTACCCATGGAGTAGGCAGGGTAATCTCAGCAATTCCTCTGGAGGGCTGTTTTATCTTTTATACAGAGGGCAGCAGAAGGTCAATAAGAATTTATGGTCACTTCCTGTCAGAAGGCCCAGATATCAGTCCCTAACAGGGCAAATATTGCTAGTTATACAACCTAACAAATAAAATCAGACAGTAGTCCCTACCCATTTTGAATGGCACAGGAGAGAGGGTCTGGGGAAATATATTTGAGTGGAAAGCAGTCCCTGCCCTCCCTGTATGCAGAAGGGGCAGGCTTCTCATTTCTTGAGGTCCCATTGTGTTGTACACCCTTTCTAGGTGCTTTACATGAGGTTACATCTCACCTCACAACAGATTGGGGAGGAGGTTGTTTGCTATTGGACAATAATGTTCCCTTTTCAAGATGAAGAAACAAGAACATTTACTTTCCGAAAGTCCGCAGCTAAGAAATAGGGTAGTTGGGATTTAAGGCCAAGTCTGTGTAATTTCAGAGCTCTAGGTAGTCTCATTCTGCTTACCAGGGGGATGGTGGGCTAAAAAAAGCTTCCTTCCTTCCTTCCTTCCTTCCTTCCTTCCTTCCTTCCTTCCTTCCTTCCTTCCTTCCTTCCTTCCTTCCTTCATCACTTACTCATTCACCAAACATTGGCTGAATATTAACTTGTACTTTAGCATATGCCTCATAAGTCTGGATACAAAACAGGTGTTCATAAAACCATGGGTGGTCAGAGCAGAAATCTAGACTAGTACTTTCATTTTCCAGATGGATAATCTGAGGCTTAGTGAGGGGGAAGGGGCTTACCCTGGGTCATACAAACAGTGCCAGGCCCTGCCCCTGTGGCTTAGTGGTTGAGCATCGACCCATGTACCAAGAGGTTGTTTCCTAATCAGAGCACATGCCCAGGTTGTGGGCCCGACCCCCAGTGGAGGGCATGCAGGCAGCAGCCAATTGATGTTATCTCTCATCGATGTTTCTATCTCTCTCTTTCTCCTTTCCTCTCTCTCTAAAATCAATAAAGAAAAAAAAAATTATACAAACAGAGTCAGGACAAGGATATCTGATGTCCTGTATTCTCCACTACTCTTTTAGACTCTGTATGGATATCTTCCTACAGCCTCTGAGAGAAGGTCATCAAATTCCTGCTTGCATACATTCAGCAACAGGAAACTCATTACCTCCTGAGGTTGCCCGTTTCTGTTATTGTTCAACCATGACTCTTAGGAACTTCCTCCTTATGTTGAACCAGCCATTCAGTTCAGTTATTCTAAATATAAATCTTTACTGGAGGATATTTTTTTTAATAGATTTTTAGAGAGAGTGGAAGGGAGGGAGAGAGGGGGAAAGAGATAGAAACGTCAATGTGAGAGAGACACATTTATTGGTTGCCTCCCGCATGTGCCCTGACCAGGGCAGAGGTCAAACCTACAACCCGGGTGCCTTTGACCAGGAATCAAGCCTGAGATCCTTCAGTGAGCAGGCTGACACTTTGACCACTGAGCCACATCGGCCAGGGCAAGAACACATTTTTTTTTCCCCTCCAATTTTTATTAATTCATTTTTGTTAACAGATGTTTCTCTTCCCCCTTCACAATATTTTTTACAATATATTTTTATTGATTTTTTTTTTTTAGAGAGAGAGGAAGGGAAAGAGATAGAAACATTAATGTGAGAGAGAAACATCCATTGGCTGCCTCCTGTACTCCCTGACTGGGGATTGAGCCCGAAACCCGGGCACGTGCCCCGACTTAGAATCCAACTGGAACCTGTCAGTCCATGGGATGACGCTCAACCCACTTAGCCATACCAACCGGACGAACACAATATTTATTGAACACTTGCTAAGTGCCAAGTGCTGGGTGCTAGGGATTGCAATGGTGAACAGGAAACCGTCTCTGGTCTGTGGAACTCAGAGCAGGTTGTGATTATGTGGCATGCTCAGTGCTACTACTGGAGACCACCTTGGACTCCCTTGCCCTGGGTGTAGGGAGGAGGGATAATGGAGGAAGTGATGTTAAAGCTGAGAAAGATGATAGGGAAGTAGGCAGATGAACGAAGGGAAGATGGGAATTCTTGGAAGAAAAAAACCCAGCATGTGTAAAGGCCCGGAGGCTATAAAGGGTGACATTTGGAGCTGTATGTTGGTCTGACCAGAGCAAAGCAGCATCAAGGTGGAGAAGGAAGGGAAGTGAGAATGAAGGGGTAAGCAGGACCTTGCTTGGCTGCACTGAGCTCGGACCTTACTTATTTCCCTGAATAAATGAAAGAACAAATGAATGAACGAATAATTGCTGAGAGTTCCACACTCTCGGTTCCAAAGGGATCAACTAGTTCCAATGTTTGTGCCCCAATTGGAATCCTCTAGGTGTTGTTGCCCCTTGGCCCTCTGCCTGGCTGGGGGAGGCCTTATTTAGCCTGGCCTGGCTCTGCTGAGCTTTCCTTAGGAATGTCTATATATAGGGGGAGAGGGCAGTCCAGTTGCCACTGTCCATCTGCCTTCCTTGGTGTCCAACCCCCTGTCACTGGCCCCAGACTCTGCACTCTGTTGTCGCGGTGCTCTTTCTGTTGACTTAGCCACTGACCAAGAGCATTCCCTGCCTCCCAACACCCAGCCTGGACCCTGTGGAGGCTCAGATTGGGCTCCTTTTGGACTTGAATTGATATAATCAACCCTTCACTCTCCAGATGGCCAGTTGAGCACCTCTAGACTTTTTCACTAAGCTCTAGCAAGGGGTCACCTACTTAGAGAAATTTCCTCTGGTCCCCCTTCTCACCAAAAAAGTGAATCCCCAAAATCCTTTCCCTGAAGAAGGTAAACTTGAGAGAAGACTGTTTTCGCCAGGCTGGTGTGGCTCAGGGGTTGAGCACTGACCCCTGCACCAACAGGTCGCAGTTCAATTCCCGGTCAGGGCACATGCCCAGGCTGTGGGCCTGATCCCCAGTGGGGGGCATACAGGAGGCGGCCAGTCGATGTTCTCTCTCATCGATGTTTCTCTCTCCCTCTCCCTCTCCTTTCCTCTCTTTCTAAAATCAATAAAGAAGAAAAAAAAGAATCTGCTTTCAATGTTGATTTCTCTTCCAAGTGCACATCCTATTTCCTGGACCCCTGCGTACATTTCTCCTTCTGTTTTTATTGTTGTTGTTGTTGTTGTTGTTGTTGTTAATCCTCACCCAATGATACTTTTCCAAGATTTTTTTTTTTTTTTTTTTTTTTAAGAGAGAGAGGAAGGGAGAGAGGGTGGGAGGGAGAGAGAGAAACATTGGTATGAGCAAGACACATCGATCTGTCGCCTCCTGCACAACCCTGACGGGGGCTGGAGAGTGAACCTGCAACCCAGGTGCCCTTGATGGGGAATTGAACCCTCGACCCTTCAGTCTGTGAGCTGATGCTCTAACCGCTGAGCCAAACCATCCAGGACCATTTCTCATTCTGGATGGGTACCCCAAGGACTGTCTGTCCCAACTTCCCCTCAGTCGGGATTAATAAGAATCACCAACATGACTATAGACCTTTATGATTTATAAAGCTCCCCAATAAAAGGGGAATAATAATAGTTGCCACCTCATAGGATGAGTACTAGATGAGATCATGTGGTTAAAATGCTTAGCACAGTATGGGGGACGTCACAGGGGTTCAATAAATGTGGCTGTCACTTTCCCCTCCTCCTGTCCACTACCCTTTACTATGGTTCAAAGACCGGACATTCTACTTGCCAAGTGCCAACCCTACGTAAGTGGCACAAGCTAGGTGATTTATACCTGGGCTCTAATAAGCCACAGTCTCTCTCTGAGAGGTTATGATGAGCCCCATCTCATGGATAAAGAAACTGTCCGAGGTTACATGTGGGTCTTGGATTTCAGACTTCAAGGCTTGTGCTCTCTCCATTTCACCACGTACCCTCACGTTTCTCTATGCTGATTGTCCGTACCCATCTTGGAGCAAGTGTACTTCTTGCGGGGAGGTTGCTAAGACAGTGGAGCAGGGCGGGTTCTTCTCCCAAGAATCTAGGACGTCAAGGCCTGCCACCTGCTCCGAGGCTTCAATTTCTCTGCAAGGGCCCTTGGCTAAATTAGGTAATGGGCCAGGACACTGGGAGGGGGTGGGGTGCTCGCTGACCCCAGGATCTGATTGGCCAGGGCATCCAGTCCTGGGGAGCAAGGAGGTGGGAGGAGATGGTGCCCCTACAAATCCCAGAGGCTGGAGCAGGCCAGAACATCTTTGGGTGGTGGAGTGCAGAGGAAGTGGCCTGCAGCAGAGGAATCCCTGTGACTAGCAACCATGGTAAGGACAAGAAGGGCCTTTATTCCTTTGCTCACTGGAGCACTTCTGGGCCTCTTTCAGGCCAGATTTGAGTGCTCTTGGGGCAGTGACTTGGACATTTGAAAATGGAATGTAAAGGTTCATGAAGCCCAGGAGGAAGCCTGGGAAGAAAGTCTTGGACTTCTCTTGGAAGGCCAGGGCAGGGCATTGATCCTCAAGGTGTACCGATTCCCTACAGACCTTCTGAGACTTCCAGCAATGTTGGTCACAGAACTGTGGGGGGAGAGGCGGTCTCAGCTTGTGTCTGCCTTAGCTTGGTAGAGATGTGGATCCTATGGCCAGACTGAGTCACCCAGCAAACCGGTGGCAGGGATGGGCTGCAAGCCTGGCCAAACCCTCCTGGCCAGCGAGAGGAGAAAAGCTCCTCTGGAAGATGGGAGGCCTGCAGGGCCTCGAGCCAGCTCAGGTGCAGGGCCCCAAGAGCTCCAAGGTTGGTGAGAAGGGGCAGAAGATGACAGACCGGAGTCAGAGAGACCTCAGCCTCCCAGAGAGGGATTCTGATTGGAGCTATCTTCTTCTTCCTCTGAGATCCCCCTCCACAGGGCACTTCAAGGGGTAACTAAACCCTGGAGGCCAGCTGCTATTGCCCTTGCCAGACTAAAATTAGCCTGCCCTCCTGACATAGACAAGGAGGAGGGGAGGAGGGAAGGAGGGTTGGGGGCAAGGAGGAGGGCCAGCAGCCAGCAAGCTGAAGAACTCCTTGGACGCTTCAGCCCTTCCTCACCACCAGCCGCAGCCGCAAACCCCCTACCCAGATGCCTTGGCTTAGATGTGACCAGAAACCCTCATAGAAATCTTATTCTCACCCCCACAAGCCCTCCTCCCCCCATTATGTTCTGGTCTGCAGGAATGGCATTTACTCCAGTGACTGCATAATAAGAAGGAAGCTTAAAATCTCTGTGTCTGCAAGTTCCTGAGGGGAGGGATGATGTATCTCACTCTGACACTTAGTAGGTGCTCAGAACCTTGGTGTTGCATTATTTATTTTAGAACATTTATTGAGCACCTATTCAAGTACTAGGCACTGGTAGGAGCTGGGGAAAATAGGGAAATCATGCTGGAATGGTGTCCATTTTACAAAGTCCTTTCGCAGCCCTGATTTAATTTCATCCCTGAAAAGGTGCTGAGAAGAGGTAAGGGGATGAGGGGACATTAAGTGACTTGCCTAAGTTACTGGGGGGTTCTTGATTTGACCTCCGATCGACAAGTGAGAAAAACCTTGGGCATCATCTATTTTTCTCCCTAGCTCTCCAAAATTGGGGTTGGGGCCTGTGGGAGCAGGCAGAAGGGGTGGCTAGTTTGGAGTTGTTCTCCTGGAGGACCAAGGGGCACTTACAGAGGTGGGGGTTTAGGAGAACGAGGTTAAGGCAAGACTGTGCCCCTGGACTGCCCCTTCTGCCCTCTGACTCCGTGTCTCCTGCAGACGGACCAGCAGGCTGAAGCCCGGTCCTACCTCAGCGAGGAGATGATCGCTGGTGAGTGGGGGTGGGCAGGCTGGCTATCGGGTGATGTGTGCTGGGGGATGTGCGCTGGGGGATGTTTGGTGCCCAAGTAGGGTGGGAGGGTAGTAAATGTGAGGCCGACAGTCCAGCCAGGCTCATTTCAGTCCTCCGCCTGCCTTCCTCTCGCAGAGTTCAAGGCCGCCTTTGACATGTTCGACGCCGATGGTGGTGGGGACATCAGCGTCAAGGAGTTGGGCACGGTAATGAGGATGCTGGGCCAAACCCCCACCAAAGAGGAGCTGGACGCCATCATCGAGGAGGTGGACGAGGACGGTGAGCCGGTAGCCCCCCGAGGCAGGGCTGGAGGGTGAGGGGAGAGGCGAGCATCCAGGTACGGGGCACGCAGGCTCACTCACCGCCTGTGCCCTCAGGCAGCGGCACCATCGACTTCGAGGAGTTCTTGGTCATGATGGTGCGCCAGATGAAAGAGGACGCCAAGGGAAAGAGCGAGGAGGAGCTGGCCGAGTGTTTCCGCATCTTTGACAGGTGCTTTGGGGGCCCGGGAGCCGGAGCAGGCGCGGAGCAGCCCGAGCTTGGTTGGCGGGCTCAGAGCTCCGCGGGGTGAGGGTCCAGGAGGGGGCGTCAAGCGTGGCGAGCCTGCCCTGAGCCCCGTCCTGTCCCTCCGCCCCGAAGGAACGCAGACGGCTACATCGATGCGGAGGAGCTGGCTGAGATCTTCAGGGCCTCTGGGGAGCACGTGACGGAAGAGGAAATCGAATCCCTGATGAAAGACGGGGACAAGAACAACGACGGCCGCATTGACTTCGACGGTGAGGGCCGCGGGAGCGTGGGGAGCCGGGACGAGCCCTGCGGGAGCGTCCGGGCGGGGCTGGGCGGATCCTGGTCAAGTTCCTCCTGCGAGGACGAGGACGGAGTAGGGAACTCGGCTGGTTTTTTTTCTTTAAATCCTCACTGGAGCCCCGCCGGTGTGCTCAGTGCATTGAACGTGGTCCCAGGGACTGAGAGGTGCCGGTTGGATTTCCGATCAGGGCACACGCCCGGGTTGCAGGCTCCATCCCCAGTAGGGGGCGTGCAGGAGGCGGCCCATCGATGCTTCTCTCACATGGATGTTTCTATCTCTCTCCCTTCCTCTCTAAAAAAATCAATCAAAACATATTTCAAAAATAAATAAAAATCCTCACTGGAGGATATTTCCATTGATTTTTTTTTAGAGTAGGAGGGAAGGAGGGGGGAGAGAGAGAAACGTAGATGAGAGAGAGACACATGGATTGGTTGCCTTCCGCACGAGCCAGGGATCGAACCTTCAACCCAGGTAGGTGCCCTTGACCGGGAATCGATCCCGCGATCCTTTGGTCCGTGGGCCGGCGCTCTGACTGCTGAGCCACACCGGCCAGGGCGCGGTTCGTTTTGCGCATTGTAGCACTTAACTCGCGGCACCCCTTCGGCTGGCCAGAGCCCTGGCCGGGCCTCGCGCTTCCCCTGACTGCACCCCTGGCGCGGGCTCCGCGTCCCGAGGGGCCCCCTGACCGCCTGTTCCTCTTCTTCCCGCAGAGTTTCTGAAGATGATGGAGGGTGTGCAGTAAGAAGTCGGCCCTCGCCTCCACCGAGCCCGTGCGGCCCTCGGGTGTGGGGGCTCTGCCCCGCCCCGTGTCATTCCCCGCCCGAGAGGGTGGCGCGGCCCCTTCTGGGATCCCCTTCTAGAAGGAATAAAAACAAACATTGCAAAGCGCGTGGCCTGAGTGAGGGGAGGACCGTAGAGCGGGTGTCGGGGGCAGCCTGGCGGGGCCACAGTGCAGGGCGCCACCCGAGCTCCCTCCCTCCCGGCCAGAGGCGACTGCAGGAACGGGATGCGGAAGGTCGCAGGAGCCGAGGGCAGGGCCGCTCTGGACGCTCTTGGCAAGGTCGCGGCTGGCGCTGGGCGTGTGCAGCTCCGCGGACCCGCGGCGGTGGCGCCGAGCGCTGCAGGAGGGAGGCCGCAGGGGTTTCAATCTGAGTCTGGATGAGCCGGGGGCCCGCTTGGGTGCGGAGGCCCGGCGGGTAGAGTGAAGGCGCGGCAGGAGGCTGGACCTGGGGGTGGAGTAGGGTGTTGTTACTTGCATTCCCCACTGCCCCTCCATTCTGAAGCCTTTGGGTCTTGGGCGCAGGCTACCGGCCTGGGGGTGGGGGAGTGGGTGTCCATCCGTCTTTGGCAGCATTATTCCCGTTTGACCTTTTTCACTTTATCTGTTCTGAGCGCTTATAGGTCTCCTACTGGAGACGGTAGGGGGAGGTGGGGGCACTCAGCCAGGAAGAAGGTTCTGACCTCATCATCTCCACCCTGTATCCCTGCCTCCGCCTGTTTCCCTGCCTTCAGCCCCTTCCCATGCGTTCAACAGAGGGCCGTCGGCATGATCTAGCTAACACGAAACGTGGTCAGGCTACTCCGCTGTTGAAAGTCCTTCCAGACTCCCCATTGCTTCCTTCCCCTCCCTCCATCCTTCACGTCCCACAGCTGCCCCTCCCCCTGTGGGCTCCAGCCACATTGGGCAATTTATCTTTCCTGCTACGGACAGTGGGGATGCGCTTTCCAGCCTTTGGGGCTTTGCACCTGCTGTTCTCCTTCCTTAGAATGCCCTTCCTCCTCTAATAAGCCTGGCAAATTCTTCAGCCCAGTTCAGATATCATCTCCATGATATCAAGACCAGTTCAGATACCATCATCTCCTCTCTTGATATGTGCCCTCACTGGCTATGACCTGGCTTCCATAGTTCTGTGTACCCAACCCAATCACAGCAGGCGCCAGGTCAAAGCTAACCAAGTACAGTGGTGGTTTAGCTTTGGTCGGGCTACCTGAGTTTGAATCCTCACTGCTGGTGACAAGTTAAACCACTCTGCTTCAGTTTCCTAATCTGTAAAATGGGGATAATGATGGTACTTACCTCACAGGGTTATGAAAACGAGTTAATGTATGCAAAGTGCTTAGAACAGAACCTGGCACACAGTTTCAGTGTTTAATAAATGCTATCATTAATATCATTATTATCATAATCCTTGAAACGTTGAAGTCCTTGTTATTCATTGCTGCAGCTCTCGCTCTCCAACTCCTTTGTGTTCTCAACTCCCTTTCATGTTTCCCAGTTTTGTTTAAAAAAATTTTTTTTTTCTTTATTGATTTTAGAGGGAGAGGAAGAGGGAGGGAGAGAGACACAGAAACATCAATGAGAGAGAACATTGATTGGCCGCCTCCTGCATGCCCCACACTGGGGATTGGGCCCACAATGTGGGCATGTGCCCTGACCAGGAACTGAACCGAGTGACCTTTTGGTAAATGGGTCGACGCTCAGCCACTGAGCTATACTGGCTGGGCTGTTCCCCAGTTTTTATTTCCATTCAGGATCATCACGATTGAGTGCCTATTTTGTGCTGTGCCCTGTGCCTTGCAGGCATTGTCTCATTTATCCACACACAACCCCAGAGGCACATGATCTAATGATTTCCATTATATTTATTTTTTATTGATTTTAGAGAAGAAAGGGTGGGGGGGAGAGAGAGAGAGAGAGAGTTATTGTTCCACTTATTTATTCATTGGTTGATTCTTATATGTGCCCCGATCAGGGATCAAAACCACAACCTTGGCGTATAGGGACGATGCTCTAACCAACTGAGCTACCCAGCAGAGCAAATGACCTCCCTTTTACAGGTGAGGAAACTGAGGCCTATTGAGGTGAAGTACTCAGGCACACAGCTAGTAGCCTAGATGATATCGCTGTGGTGAAAACAGGAACAAGGTTCTTAACTGTGATGACATTTACCTGTTAACAGTTCTACCTGGATGTCCTGAGGACTTTAGACTGGCCCTGCCCCAAACTGGTAGGTTCCCCTGCTCCTCCATCTTGCTCTCCAGTGTTGCCTATCTCGGGGAAGGTACCCGGAGGGATGGGGCCCAGGTCAGGAATTCTGGAGCTCATTTCCCACCTCTCTGCTACCTTCTATCTCCCTACCATTTCATCCCTCCTCTCTGCGCCCACTCAGCGTCATAACTCAGGCCACTGCCATTGTGTACCAGGCTGCTGATAATAGTAGTTAATCTCCTCCCTGCCATTTACTCCCCAGACAGACGGCAGGCAGAGGGATCTTTCTAAAAGCAAATCTGATCATGTCACTGCCCAGTTCAAGGCGTCATTAACTGCCAGTTGCCCTCAAGATAAAGCCCACACATTTTGTTTGTTTGTTTTTTATCCTCACCCGAGGACTTTTTTCCATTTTTGTTCAGTTAGAGAAGAGAGAGAGAGAGAGACATCGAAAGGAACACACCGAGTGGCTGCCTCCTGAACAACCCCAACCAGGGCCGGGGACAAACTGCAACCAAGTTACATGCCCTTAGCGGGAACCGAACCCTGGTCTCTCTGAACCATGGGCTGATGCTCTAACCGCTGAGCCAAACCGGCCAGGGCAAAGCCCACACATTTTAACATGGCCTTCCAAGCCCTTGGTGACCCGACATCCACGCTGCTTCACCAGTCTTTATTTCTCCCCTTGGCTCATCCCCCTGAACTTCTTGCTTTCCAAGGAGTGTGCTTTCTTATTCCAGCTTCATGGTCCATCTTTCTCCAGACAGCCTTCCTTGACCCTCCTCATCCCTGTTAAGTGCCCCACTTTTTAGCTTTCATAGCAACGTGTGAGTCTAGCACCCCACATTTATTGAGCACTTACCATGTGCCAGGCAGTTCTAATGTCTTTTACTTGATCCTATGAAGTAGCTACTCATATTCCCGTTTTACAAACAGGTTAAGTCTAAATGCTCAAGTGTATACAAGGAACATGGGGATGGAGTGGGGATTCTAACACAGTTCTTCTGCCTACCTGGTCTGAGCTCTTAACCACCACTCGGTATGGCACTTTCGCACCCTAGTGAAATACCTGTCTCCCCCCTGAACTTGAACCTTGTTGAGCACAGGACTGTGTTCTTTTCCCTGCTTTATCCCCAAGCATATGGCCTTTACCTTGTAGATACTCAACTGTATCAAATGAATAGGAGTAATAATAGTCATACCTTTTTATAAAAAATATTACGAATAGGATTTTTTTATTTGTCACCATTAAAAGTCTGAATTTTGCCCTGGCCGGTTTGGCTCAGCGGTTGGAGCGTCAGCCTGCGGTACAGAGAGACCCGGGTTCGGTTCCCGCTAAGGGCACGTACCTCGGTTGCAGTTTGTCCCCGGCCCTGGTTGGTCGTGAGGGTGGCAGCCACTTGATATGTCCCTTCACATCGATGTTTCTTTCTCTCTCTCTCTCTTCCTCTCTCTCCCTCCCGCTCTATCTGAACAAAAAATGGAAAAATGTCCTCGGGTGAGGATAAAAAAAAAAAAAATCTGAATTTTAAACAGCTTCTTGAACTGGGCGTTCAAATCCATCAGCTCGCTTCACCATGAAGCTCCATGAGTTTTCCCAATTCAAACTTGGCTTCTTCAGCATTTTGACTTTTGTAATAAAGACATCATGGAGCAGACAAATAGAATGACAAGCCCTTTTTATGTTTTTTTTTTCCCAATGCAATCAGGAATCAGTTTATTGACCACTTCTTTTTTTTTTTATCCTCACCTGAGGATATTTTTCCACCTTTTTTGTACAGATAGAGTGGGAGGGAGAGAGAGGAAGAGAGAGAGAGAGAGAGAAACATCGATGTGAAAGGGACACATCGAGTGGCCGCCACCCGCACGACCAACCAGGGCCGGGGACAAACTGCAACCGAAGTACGCGCCCCCAGCGGGAACCGAACCCGGGTCTCTCTGGACCGCAGGCCGACGCTCCAACCGCTGAGCCAAACCGGCCAGGGCTATTGACCACTTTTTTAAAGTCATTTGTCTGTACCTCTTGGGTCATGATTTCCATCAGCTTCAGGATTTGGCAGACCTGTCAATGCTGGGCATAAGAGGCTTCCAAATTGGACTGTTGCATTTTTTTTGTAAAACCAACACAGAAAAGATGGAGCAAAGAACACCGGTAGTCTTGGCCTCAACATGAGCTTCAATCAAGGTCTGCCATTTTTTGACCATGGAACACATTTTGTAATGGGTAAGTAAGATCCATGCCATGGAAATTAGTCAGGCAGTTTTTGCCCTGAACATCCTCAGTAATTAGCTTTAATTTTCTAAATGCAGTTTCATCATTCTGCATATCAGCTAGGCTCACTTCAAAAACACAATCCTTGTGCCCTGGCCGGTTTGGCTCAGCGGTTAGAGCGTCGGCCTGCGGTCCGGAGAGACCCGGGTTCGGTTCCCGCTAAGGGCACGTATTTCGGTTGTAGTTTGTCCCCGGCCCTGGTTGGTCGTGCAGGTGGCAGCCACTCGATGTGTCCCTTCACATCGATGTTTCTCTCTCTCTCTCTCCCTTCCTCTCTCTCCCTCCCACTCTATCTGTACAAAAAATGGAAAAATATCCTCGGGTGAGGACAAAAAATAAATAAAAATGCAGTTTCATCATTCTGCATATCAGCTAGGCTCACTTCAAAAACACAATCCTTGACACCATCAGGTGTGATTTGGGTTCCTTCAGTTCTCGCGACTAGTGTTTTTCCAATATTTCTCAATATTGAATATAGCTGGTGCTTTCACATCACACTGAGCTTAGAAAATCGATCAACCGCTTTGTTCTTGGCTCCCTTTTGGTCGTCTTTTGTTCTTGCTGAGTGCCACGGTGCTGCTGAGAGAGCGGAAGGGCAACAGACCTAGCACTGAACTGCCCAGG